GAGTTCGGCCCTCCAGAGCTGGAAGAGCCTCCAAGCCTTGTCCCGCTTGGCCTCGCTCATGGCCGCGACACTCAGCCCTCCCTTGCCCAGTCGATGCTGTCGTGCATCAGTTGGTTCCTTGGGTGGGTCTTCTCCTTGACATGTTCGCCAGTGGTTCATGACCTCCGCCCACCTCCGCTGGTTCGTCTGGAGCGGGTCGGGGGCCCATTTGCCGCAGGAGCAGTGCCAATGCTGGTGTGAGTCGGTCAATGTCGGCAATGATGACGGCATTGGGCTGTGATTCGATATGCTGTCAATTCGCCTGGACGAGATGGGTCTTGTCTTAGGCGTGGCAATTCCAAAAATACTCTGCACCCGTCGCGTCTAAATCGAGGCCCGCGACGGTGTCGGCGGATCAAAAAGGGCCATAGCCGCACTAGGAGAAAACGAGCTCGATGACTAGGACTTTTTGGATGCTGGAGTCGGAGGGCCTGCACGATCAGCTCGATCATCACGAGGTCCAGAATTCTTCTGTGAGGTCTTCCCCCCGCCCGTGAAGTGATGGGGGTATGGTCTGGCGTTCTTCCTCCACTCACCTTCGGCTTCAGGAGGTGCAGGTACCTCTACAACCAGTAGTTGTACACGTTTGTCAACCGAGGCCATCCAGCACCTGTGCTCCGTCTTGATCGCGGCGGGCGCTGAGAACAGCGCCCACCCCGCACCTTGCTTTTTCCACATCAAGAAATCACATGCGACTGCCGCCGCTGCTGCCGCGATGGGGGCTGATGTAGCACACGCTCCCGCCTTGGCCTGGTCGTCGGCCTCCTTCTGCGGCAACTTCTGCTTGAACATTTCTGCGGCGACTTTCGCTCGAATTGCAGCCTGGATCTTTCCGCCCGGGCCGAGCTCGGCCTCCGTCGGTAACTTCCTGCCAGCCTTGCCCCCCGAAGGTTGAAGGGAATTGAATAGAAGCCCGCTGAGACATGGAAGCAACCCCCCTTGCCTCCACACTCTCGTTGCTTGAAATATGCTTCCCATGGAGCTTTAGTTGGCGCTGACTGCTTAGCTTCCTTAGGTCGAGGCTCGCCGTCTCCACTGCTCTCCGCGTTCATCATTGTTGCATCGCCGTCAGCATCAGGTCTGGTTACCTGGGGAGTCGCTGCGGGCGCTTCGGGCTGGCGTCGGGCGAGGCTGGGAGTGCCCCGGGCTGTCTTGGGTGACTTCGTCGGCGCTGGTCTGAAGTTCCCGCGCCGCGGTGCAGCCAGACTTGCCATCGCCCCTGATCTGAATTCCCAAACCCTGCCACTTTCCAACTGCTCAAGGTCGGCGCGGATGAACCAACGTCTCGTGCCACAGCGTGCGACGCTGCTGACATTCTTGAAGCCACGATCGACTGCCCAAGCCTTCACCTCATCCTCTTGGGACCATGATGTGGGCGTCCGTTAAAGAAGCCATCGAGGTTATATGCCGACCGCTACAACTTTGGCCGAGGTCACTCCGAGGAAACTATGGTCTGAGGGTCTGTGCGCGACACGTCCAGCTGCTGCTTTCGCCGCCGCCTGCGCCGTCTTGAAGTAGTCCGCGGCCTCCTCGTCGTCCCTGAGCCTGTGCCGCGAGGGTGCCGAGGAAATCCCCTGGCGAGCGAGAAAAACTCCATCTGGTAACGGATACGGCATAATGTCCTCGATGTGGGCGGCCTGCGCGATGAGGATCGCAGCCGCCTCTGCCTCGCACGCCACCGTCCCATTGGTTTTGAAGACTTGCTTGGTCAGGGCCGCGCTCAGGATGAGCGCTGGGGGGGGCACAGGGTTCTCTTCTGCTTCTGCATGTAGCCAATCTGGCCCGAAATCTCGAGCAACTGCGATTCTCACCGCGATCGGCTTGTCCGTGGGGGCTGGGACCTCCACGTCATCCTTCACTCCTTTGAGTATCTTCTGAAAGGCCCTTTGGCCCCTGCGAAGAATCTGAGCTGGGGCGCTTCGTCGAAGAGCGCGCATGTGGCCGTCGCAGCCGGGTGCCCCCTGGCACCCAACCACTCCACCACACTGTCGTACTCCTCCTTACCCCTGCAGGCGATGACTGGTGGTGCCTGTGAGTCGTAATCTTTGCCTTTGACATGCGCTGCCTGCCGCGCCGCGGGTGACCCCCATGGGTGCGGAAGCAGCTTATATGTATTAGGCGACGTCGCGGCACTTTTCCCCGCGCCCTTGGCCGCGGCACATTTATCGGACTTCTTACTCTTGGCTGAACTATCCTCGAGCAGGTGCCTGAGCGCGGCGATCATCTCCTTGTTGGTGGGAGGCTGATCCTGCTCATCGGCTTGGCGGATGAGACGCTTGAGTCGAACCTACAGGCGTGGGTCCCGTCATCTGTCGGTCTAGTCGGTGACACTATCTGGAGATCGTCGATGTGGCTTCACCCTAGGCGTTCGATTGCTCCCGCGGGCTTGGCCCGCCAAGTCTCGAGATCGCTCTTCCAGGAGAGCCAGCTGGGTCTGCACCGTCGCTTTGTCGTTCCCCCGGCGCCATTTCGAGTGCATGCCACCGCGTCCTCCCGCGAGAAGCGGGTCTGAATCTGAATGATTATCTGAAGTGTCAACCTCTAACTCGGTCGACTGGTGCAACTCCGTCGCCCTCAGCGCCTCGACTGTGTCGGGCACCATGGGCATGTCGCGCTGTCCCTCGTTCTGCGTCACGTCCGCGAAGCTTTCGCAGTGCTCCGCAGCGGCAGGGGCCACCCCATCAACCTCGACGAGGAGAGGTACTGCATCGTTGATGGCTTCACACAGAAACTGAAGATATGCGGAGGCGCGAACAGCCCAGTGCGCGCCGGGGCCATCACGGCCCTGAAGAATCTGGTGTTTCTTATTAGAAAACGCACATATCCCTCGGATCGGGCGGCACCGCTTGGAAAGAGCCACGGCCCTAAACAACAGAAGAACGCGAAACCTGGTCGGTTTGCACCGCGGCGCCCCCCAGCCACAGCAATTGGTGATTACGCCCTGCACCCCAGACCAATGTGAGACACGACGGGCGGAGCCGACTTTCCACATGTAGGATGACTGCGGGTTCCCCCAAAGAAAAGGAGCACGCATCTGTTAACACGCATGACATCTGAATAGGCAACTGCAATATCCCATTGCCCTCGTCGACCACGGCCTGTGGAGGAGGAGGGGGCGAGGAATGGCCAAAGGGGCGAACGCTGCTACGGGTGGCGTCGCGCCCGCCTCGGGCAATGGAGAAACTCTTGCAAGGGAGGCCCGCAAGAAGCCCGAGACACTTGCCGCTCCTAACCATTCGAACAAAGCGTTCAAGACAATGGGCCTCGGGAGATCACCTCGAGGGCCTTGCGACGCATCAAACGAGAATACCGAGAAGCCACGCTTTCTCAAGGCCATCTAGAAGTGCCCCGAACCCGAGAACACATCAATGAAAAAGAACTGCCCCGACTTGGCGCGGGATGGCATCATGCGTAGCTTCTCGCGCAGGCGGCGGTCGGCGGCGCGGGCAGCTCGACCTCCACGCGCGCCCCGTAGTTGTCCGCGCGCGTGGTCATCTGTGATGTGCCCGCACCACCTGCAGCAGCCTGCGTGTCTGATAGCGGCAGACCGCTGCAAGCTGCCTCCACCTGCCCCGCTGCTGGACCTCGAGCAGCGAGATCCTCTCCGTGAGCGTGGCGATCGAGGCCCTGCCGTGCGGCTGCCGCACTATGTGCAGCACGGTTAGTACTTCCGCGAGGCCCGAGGTCTTGTCGCCACTGTCGAAGGTCTTCTTGGCCTGGCGCATCGTGGAGTCCCAGAGCGGCTCCGTCGGGCCAATGGGGCTTCGTCGAACGATCGGCGAGGCCACCCAAGGACGGGCGATGTTGACGGCCTCGTCGATCTCGTTTGTCTTGCTGAGCTTCCGTAGGTTGTCTGGGTTGATGTGCTACGTCACCTTCTGCATCTTCGCCTGTGGCGGACACACCTGTCCCCTGGTCAAAGTTAGGGCTCCGCCAGACCTGAGGTTGGTGTCCACCACCATCAGCCAGTGCAGCGCCACTTGCAGCTTGCCCCAGATCTGCCAGAGCCTCCCCACGACGCCCATTCAGGCAGCCCACGGCAGCGGGCAGCAGGTTCGCGAAGGTCGCTGTAGTCGCCAGCCCCGCCGCACGCTGCGTGCGAGAGGAAGTGCCAGGCGGCTGCTGCTCTGGTAGTGGTACACGTGCAAGGCTATCGTGGCGATGTGCTTCAGCCGCGGCCTCGCTGGTGGCGCCCCTGGCGAGCGGCCGCCCGTCGGGCGCTCCGCTCTCGCGAGCGCCGCACCCTGGGCGGCCCCGACGCGCGACTGTGCAATGCGAGCCGCCGGCCCTGACGCAGCGCGCGCAGGTCGCGGTGGCGGTCGGGGACTGAAGCCCAGGGGGGCCCCAATCAGCCTGCGAGCCCCCGCAGGTGGCGCGGCGCGGCCGCAGCTGTCGGCCCTGCGCGGCGAGCTCTCGCCAGCCCGCAGCAGCTACGCGGCGCCCGTCAGCAAGCTCGCGGGCTCGGCTGGCGCCATCGGCGCCGTTCAGCTCGCTCGGCACCCATCGTCTATACATCTGGGTGCCCGCGGCCAATGCGAGGGCGGCCCCTCGACGAATAATGATGAGCAAGTAAGTGTCGCGGCAGCGACCTTTGGAAAGTGCAAGGGTAAGTGCCAAACTATCTCCCGACCACGCGTCTCCCCCCCGCGAATCCGCGTCCGAAAGGGTCAGTTCGACGGCGCGCAGATCTCCACTTGCCTCTTTTCGACGAATGGGCTCTTTCCTGAACGTGGGGGCGCAGCGCAGCAGCTTCCAGTCGGCGCGGCGGAGGGCGCGCGCAAGCACTTCAATGAAGTTCTTGTCAGACAAACCCCTCAACGCTGCGAACGACGGCTCGCCGTCTAGAAGCGCGGCCTCGGCCGCGCGTGCCGCGCGGTCGCGCGGCCGCCAGCTGCCGCCCTACTCGCGGGCGTGGCGGGGGCGCCATCTCTCGCGCCGGCGGCCGACAGCAGCCGCGTCGCCTGTCATCCAGTCGGCGACCATCGACGCGCGGCCCGTCTCGCAAGCATCAGTCACGACGACCTGCGACGACCAGGGGGCGTCAAGCTGGGCGCGCAGTATGATCGGCACCCCGCGGAAGATCCTGAGCTCCTTTCGCGCGGACGCCCAGAGTGGCCGCGCGCGCTGGTAGCCTTGCTGCACGAACGCAGACGCGGCGCTGAAGCAGCTGAGGCTCTCGCGGCGGCAGAGGGCCGCGAAGGTGCAATGACCGAGGGCGCGCTCGATGTCCGGCTGGTCACCCTGGGGCGGCGCTGAACCAGATAGCCAAGACCCAGGCAGAGCTTCCAGAAGCGCATCGAGGCCAGCGTGGCACGAGCGGGCTGCCCTTCCACCTGCTCGCCCAACGTCGCCATGGACTCCGAGGCGTCGGTTTCGTCGTGAACGGCGAGCCCAGCCGCCTCCAGCGCCTCCGAAGCCAACCGCCTGACGCGCGTCACCTCCTCGCGGTCGGAACCAACGACGAGCGCGTTGTCGACGCGGAGGGGGTGGGTCGGCTGGTCGAGCGGCGACGGCGGCGGCGCGAAATCGACCGCGCGCAGCTCGGGCCTGAGGGCGCGGCAGCCTCCCAGCGCGCGCTCGTGGGCATGCTGGGCGACGCAAAGCGCCCAGCTCCAGCCCATCGGCGCGACCGCCAGCTGCGGGCGCAGACGCGTCCGCGGCGCCGCGCGGCGCCCGCCCAGCCTGCCGACGCCCCCCAGCTCGCCGGCGGCGGCCGCGGGCAGGCAGGAGACCGGCCGCTGGTGGGCGGGCACCTTGTGCTGGCAGAAGGCGCTCTGGACGTCAACTCCCGCGAAGTAGAGCGAGGCCCCCTCGGGCGCCTCCAGATCCACGAAGCCCGCGGCGGAGGAGAGGTTGACTGGCGGCGGAGGCTGAAACGTTGATTGCTCCTCCGACAATCAAGCGCCACCCTGATGCGGCCATCCTTCTCGGCCGCGAAGAACACCCCGACGCCCTCGATCCTGGTCTTGCCCGCTACGAAGACGCCCCTGGAAACCCCTGACCCCGCAAACTCCGCGTGCATCGTGCGATTCCTCTCAAGCGCAGGGTCTATATATAACGAATGCCCCCCGCCCTCCTCCACGACTGCGTCGACGCTCGGCGACGGCAGCGGCAAGGCGTGGCTGAGGTCGGGGAGCGAGCGTCGATCGCCAGGCCCGAGTCGGTCAGCAAGCCAGCCAGGCTCGTTCCCAAGAGTGGGCCAGCTCACGATGCGCGGCGCATGCGGCCTCAGCGGCAAGTCGCTCGACGTGTCGCAGCGCAGACACGGGCGGCCCAACAGCTCTGAGCAGGCTTCCTGGGCCGACGCACCCGCCGGGGCCCCCATCTGACGATGCAGGCGGCGGACGCGCTGACGCAAAACATCGCCCACATCCGAGAAGCGCTCCGGCGTGCACCGCGGCGCGCTGTAAGCCCCGAACAGATTGAGGCACTCCGCGGCGCCCCGAGTACGCTCCTCAATGGACTGACTGAATACGATGAAGGCGTGCCCGCGCTGAACGCGGTAAGTCCAGGCGGAGGTCGAGGAGCAACTGGCGAGGCAGGCACAGCAAAGGGCAGCATCCCGTCGCCAGGAGGGCGGCCATCAGCAGGCCGACAAAACTGGCTCTCACGATATGGCGGACGGGTCGAGCCAAATCCCGCCCGCCGACTCCAGTTCACCCCTGTCACTTCGTGACGGAGGGGGCGCTCATCTCTTCGCGCGTTCTCCTCCTCTGCTTCTGGATCTCGGTCTCCTTGGCGCGCTACTCGGTCGCGCGCGTGACCAGGTCTGTCGCAACCGCGACCCAGCGGCGAGCACTCTGCCGCAGGCGGCCGGCGTAGAGCTCGCCCCCCTCGGTTTTCGCGCGGTTTATGGTCTCCTCGATGAGCTGGTGCGCCCCTGCATCCGTCTCCAAGTAGCCCTGGTCTGAGCCGTCGACCTGGTCGTAGGTCTGCGCGACTTCAACCGCGAGCCAGAGGAGTTCGTGAAACTGACCCGCCGCCAGGTCCCCTGTGCAGCCGTTCTTGCTCTTTCACTTGAACTGGCGGCCGTCGCGAGCCCCGACGTGCCCGACGATGTACTCGCAGAGCCACTTGTAGCTCCGCTCCCTCGTCCGCGGGAAATCGTCGAGCGCCTCCTGCCGCATCTGCACCACCGACTCGCGGAGATCGAGGTGGCGTCGTCCCTCACGGTTCCTGGTGGGTGGGCCCAGGGTGCGAGCATCGTCGTCTTCTTCACCATCTTGCCGAACGGGAGGGACAGGGCCAACCAGCTCCATGGGCACGATGGCCCCAAACAGCAGCCTGTGAAAGCTGCTCTCACCCCAGACGACGTCGCCCGCTGGTCGCCGAGAAAAGCTGGGGACCTCACCGAAGCTGACCGTGGTGAAGCCCTCTGGCACCCCGCCGTTCCGCACGTACCTGGACGGCTCGGCGACGTCCACCACCGTGGCCCGCGCCTCACGCCGAGCAGCTTGCACCATGTCCAGCATTTCGGACTCCGAAGGGTAGGCGCGGACGCGGCAGACGCAGCCCGAGGGCCGCTGCCGAGCAGGGGCGGCGCCGAGGGTCACTGACGCCTTATCAGGGCCGTCCCCGACCGCGCCGCGAGCTGACCCCTCGTCGTAGATGTGTCCGTCGGGCGTGAGGCGGGTCCACCGCCTCGCAGGCCACTCCGAATCGGCTTGCCAAATCACCTCGCGCTCGATCCAGATATCACGGCCGTCGCCATAATTGAAGGTGCTGACGCGGCCTGGCCTCAGCTCATTGAAGACGTCCGCCGCCACGGCGGCGCTCATCGCGGCCCCGAAGGACAGCAGGCGTGACAGCAACGACATGCCAAGCGTGAGGGACCCTGCACGCGCCCACGATCTGCGGCACGACATCCGTCACGGTGAGCCTGAGGGTGTGCGCGTAGACCGACCCCGTCGCCCCAACCCTGCTGAGCCTGTGCCGACGAGCGTCGCGGAGCTCCGCGTGCAGCCGCGCGGTCGGGAACAGACAGCCCGACAGGATGCGGGCGTAGGCGGATGTTCGCCCTGCCTCGCCCGCCGCCGTCGCGACATGCGGCCCGCCGAGGGCGGCTGTCGGGGGGGCCTCGCCGCCGCCGCCGCCGCGCACAGGGCCTGCCACCAAACGCCCAACGCACACCAGGCACAGGGATCCGCCACAAAGGAGCCTGTGGGAGCCGAGGGCGCGGAGAATCTCAGGTGCTCCCTGGAGGTAAAAATCTTCAGCGAAATGGAACGGACTCTGTGCTGCACCCCTATAGACGTTCGCAGGACAAGTCTCATCGTCATCATCAGCATCATTAGCATCATTAGCATCATCATCATCATCATCGTCATCGTCATCATCATCATCATCATCATCATCATCAGCAGCAGCAGCAGCATCATCAGCATCATCAGCATCAGCATCAGCATCATCATCATCATCATCATCATCATCATCATCATCAGCATCATCATCAGCAGCATCAGCATCAGCAGCATCAGCATCATCAACATCATCAGCATCAGCATCATCGTCATCAGCATCAACATCGTCGTCATCAACAGCAACATCATCAGCATCACAATCAGCATCGTCGACATCATCATCACCACCATCGACATCACCATCATCAGCATCATCATCCTAATCGGCATCATCACGTTCACCGTCACCACCACCCCACCATCATCATGGTACTCATCACCATCAGCATCACCACCACCATCAATATAATCACCATCATCGTCCCCGTCATCAGCATCATCATCATCAGCATCATCATTAGCTCAAGCATCATCATCATCATCATCAGCATCATCACCAGCATCACCATCATCAACTCCACCACCACAACCACCAGCATCGTCGTCATGATCATCATCAACAATAACATCCTCATCCCGACATTGATCATAATCACCATCACCACCATCACCACCATCAAGATCATGATCATGACGGCGATCGTGATCGTGATCGTGATCATGATCGTCATCAACATCATCATCATCATCATCATCATCATCATCATCATCATCATCATCATCATCATCATCATCATATTGCCCCATCATCCCGTCATCCTCGTCATCCCCGTTATCCTCATCACGGCTCTCCCAAACATGGAAACACGAGGTGTCGCACGTGACAGGCTTCCGCGTCCCCTCAAACAATCGCACCCCAAAATGCTGGGCTGGCACGGTGACGGGACTTGCCGTAGGCAGCTGAATAAAAATGCATCTCTTCTCCCTCGCTTCTGCCCTCGTCCGCCTTCTCCAGGAGGGGAAAAGGAGCATGGAGGAGGGGGAGATGTAGAGAAGACAAAAGGGAGGAGGATTGAGGATGAGGCCGCGTGTGCTCCTGTCCTCCTCCATCCTCTTCACTTTCCACCCTACACTCTCCAAGAGGGGGGAAGGCCACATTCTGGATTATTATAACATGCTGGTTCGCAGACAACCACGTGGTAAATGTCCATTCGCCCGACGGTCAGCCCCACCAGGTCTCTGACATCCTCCCGGTGAAGGTTCTGCCATTGAAGCGTGTAGTCTATGGCGGAGAGCCTCCGACGGGGTTCGTAAGACATAGGCAGGATGAAGACAAACGGTGTTGAGAGAAATCGGGATTCTCTGTGGGCCAGCGGGTCTGGAGGATGCATCGAGCGCTGCGGCCGTTCCAGAGCGCCCTGGGACGTGCCGAGGGCTATCAAGACCGCTCTGGAGCGATCTATCTTCATCCCAGGCATGCCCTAGAGGAACAGAACACGCATCAATATAAACTGTCGGAGGTCCGCGCGGATCTCTTGGATCGGCAGTGGGCCCCCCTCCCTCGCAGTGGAGCGCGCCAGTGGTGCCCAACGCAGATCCACGAAATCCGACAGTTTATGCTTATGCAATTTGTTCTTCTTCGATGCACGACTCCTCCGATTCCCCCTCCTCCCACAAGGCAGGGGGGGGGCAGAGAGCCTCTTTTGAAATTGCTGCGCAGCGAAATTCGCCTGCTGGCCAGAGCCGACGCCGGACACATAATTCTGCGCGGCGCCGGAGGCCCAGGAGGTGGCGCTGGCGATCGCGGCACTGGCGAGCATCGCGGCCAGGCCGAGGCCGAGAACCCGCACGGGCCAAGATCGGGCTGCAAGGGCGCTGCGATGCCCACCTCTCGGGCCCGAGCGCGGCTGAAGAGTGCAAGAAACGAGCATCTATACAGGTCCTGGTTCCTCTTGCCTCTCACCTCCTCCTCCTTCGATTGCTTTCTCACCTCCTCCTGGGACGGGGGAGGGGGAGAGCCGAGGGGGCGAAGCGAAACATTCTGATGAGAAAAGGCCGGGGGGTTGAGGGCGACCGCAAGGGTGACACAACAAATCAGGAATTACAGATCCGTGGGCTCCCGCGTGATTTCGCACGGCAGCGCCATCCTTCGCACAGCGCAGCCAGACGCCGAGCCCAGACGGGCACTCCGCCGCCAGGTTGGAGAGCTCTTCTGGACGATATCAAGAGCCAGGCAAGACTTGCCATGCCCATGAGACTAGCACCCAACCTGACCATCACCTGACGTGTGCCCACGACCTCACGATTCCTTCACATGATCTGAATAGCGCTGATGTTCAAAATACTGATCCATCGTACTTCACGTTTACCCGATCGACTCTGATGTGACACGACCAAAATGCCTTTATACCAAATTATGTCCTACGGTGCAACGCAATTGCTCCCTGCTGTGCTCCACTGTACCCTGCGATGCCTTGCACGTATTTACTCGACCACCGTCCGCTTTACACCTACATCTACCGTATTTCTAGCTCTACATGTAAACTTGCACTTCCTTCGATTCATCCTTGCTGAATGCTGCGGTGCTTCGGTGAGGGCGATGACCGCGAACTACACGCTACTACACTATAGTATGCATTGCGCGGGACACCTGGTTCCTCGCGGGCTAAAGCCAAATTGGCCAAGTCGAGCGATTTACCAGGCTCAGCCCATTCCCACTGGTTTTCCCATCCGAAAATCAACGGTGGCACATCTTGACGTTGGGGGTGGAAGGCGGTCCCACTCAACCAACGGAACGCTCGCGCGCGCGCGGTCTGGAACCCGACGAAGTGGCGAGCTTCAGGAAATCCTGGCGCTCCGTTGCGGCACAAACGCGATTAACCTTTCTGTCGGGCGGCCAAATGTCCGATTAGCGCAGCGAGGTTATGCATGTGCCGCGCCGAAATACTACAATTTTCACAAACACTCTTCGCGGAGCTTGGGCGAAAACACCATGTCGCCCATTCTCGAACGGCCCTTGCCAATGCCGTGTTCAACGACCCGGCGAACAAAACTTACAACGCGCCCTCGCGGGGACGCCACTTCCACCCGAAATATGCACAGAGCTGAAGCGAGAGCGACAAACCGCCCGCTCGCGCGCGGCCCCGTTCCGAAACGACTTCGAGAGCGACACCTGTGTGACGCGCCGACGCAGGGGCACACTGCTCAGGCAACATATGCGCGGTACCGATGCGAGAAAGACATTTTGGTCCGCTCGCGCGTTGACGAGCTGTCGAGCAGAAAGTGCGCGGCGCGCCCAACCGAAGATCCATTTCTCAGAAAAATGAGCGGGTACCGAAAAGAATTCGCATGTTTGCGCGCGATGTGCGCCCCCCACATTTTGCAACGTCGATGCCAACACGTCTAGGTTGGAAATGAAATCGGTAACGTTGTATGGTTCTTGATGGGACGGATGGTACCTCCCGGGTGGATTCACGATTTGCAGGCTAGGTGTAGTACGAATGTAAGACACTCGGAAAAAAACAATGAGACATGTTTGTGTCAGGGGTTGGTGCTAAATTTGCTTATCACGGACGTGTTTCGTATAGGTCCGCCAAATGAACCTGGACTATAAATATTATGTTCCGTATGCTACCAATGTATGTTCTGGAATGCACAATGCCAATTACGGCGGAGGCTTTGCGCATCATGCGGCCCTGTTCCGTCAACTTACACATGTCCGTGGGTGGCAGGGCCCCAAACGATCCCAGCACATTCTGACTTACATTCTGCTCGACGACCCAATATGATCGACGACCGCATCCGCAATGCGCTTTCCAAAATTTTATGAGAATCTACTAGAACTAGCAATACTTAACAAGATACAACCAACAATCGCAAACATTCGCCATCATTAAGCATGATCGACCATGCTTAGCAACAGTTAGCCAACACTATCCATAATCCACAACATATAACCATACTTAATGCGAACTAATCAGAATCAACCACAATCCGCCTGCACCAACCAGTACCGTCAACGATCCGTCAACATGGTCACCACTTAACCACACTTCACCCTACTTAAACAACATGCTCCAGAGTAACCAGCGGCCAGGGCGAGAGGTGCTTACCCCTCCCCGTACCCCCTCCCCTGGACCTGGACAAGAGGCTACACGAGGTGCCGGAACGTCAAAAAAAGGCATCGGCGAGGAAGAACAACTCATTGGTGTTACTAGGGGGGGTGGCCCCATTTTGGCCTCCTGAGCGGGGGGGCCCTAATTAGACCCCCCCCCCCCTCCTGTGATCGGCCTCACCCACGCTGGCCCAAAGATGCCCCCCAAGGCTCCCAAGGGTGCCCCAAGAGGTGGCCAGGAAGCCCCAAGAGGCCCCCAGGATGCCCCCAGAGGCTCCCGCGAGACCCCTCAGATGCCTGAAGATACATCCTATAGGCACCCAAGATGCCCCCAGAGGCCTCGGCGAGAATGCCAAATCATTGATTACACTAGGGTTTTAGCCACATGTTGGCCTTTTGGGGGGGGGGCACTGATTAAGATGATTCCAAGAGCGCCTGAGTGAGCCCAAGATGACGTCCAAGATGGCTCGATAGATCCCAAGATGTCTCATAATGGCTCCCACGATGCTCCAAGATGCCCCAAGACCGCTCCAAGACGGCTCCCAGTGGCCAAAGAGCCCCCCCAGGAGGCCCCGAAGCGGCCAACACCTTAGGAAATTCTGGTTGTTTGGCCGTCTCGCCTTTTCGCGTCCGATTGCCATCCGAAGCCTCAAGATGGCTAAAACATGGCCCAAGAGGGTTCCAAGAGAGGCTCCACAGAGCCCCAAGACGGCCCCAAGAGCGCCTAAGAGCGCCCCAAGAGCGCCCCAAGAGGCCTCCAAGATGCCCCCAAGAGACCCCAAGAGGCCCCAAGAAGCTCTCCGGAGCACCCAAGACGCTCCAAGAGGCCTCCATTGTGCCCACTTCCCTGATCGAGGCAACATGTCTGGATGGCCTGGTGGGGTTACGTTTGGGTCTGCGGGCTCGCGAAGCAAGTTCGAAAACCCTCCGATCACCTGGTAGGGTTACTTTTTTTGATCTGCGGCTCCAAGGACGACTCCGGAGAGCGGGTCGTATCGAGCATGGGGTACCGCGCCAGATAATTACCAGCGGGCCAAAAGCCAGCGCCGGAGCGCAGGCTTGGAACGGCAGGCGAAATAATTGCCAGCGGGCCAACAGTCTACGCCGGGATGCACTTGCAGGGGGGGGAACCCCACAAGGCCCAGCTAAAGCAGGACGACGAGCAGATAAATGCCAGCGGGCCGAGAGCCGACGCCGGGGAGAAAGCGGGGGAAAAGGGAACCGCATGCCGACGAGCCTGGCACCCGGTCAAAGCGGAGCGAAGCCCAGCGGCGCCGCCCGCGGCCCAGGAAGAGCGAAGGCACGGCGGACAAAACAATCCAGGAACCCTCACTCACGGAGCAACTGAAAGCTCATGGCCGGCTGCACGCAACCAGCGGGGGAAGCTCCCCTCACGGTCATCAAGACCGAATGCGTCGAGGGAGGCGTGGGTCTTCCGGCCGCCGACCCCATCAGGCCAGACCGTCCGTGAACAGAGTCAAGTGGTGAAGCTCTCGTAGGCGTCTGCTAAAGGGGGGGTGCCACAGAGCGGTGTCGCCGTAGAAGGTGGTAGTGTGGAACGACAGGGGCGGGCCTTGGGCCGGCGGTCCCAGCCGCTCGAAGGCCCAAGCGGGCGAGGCGGGCCCAAGTCCGTAGAACCTGGCCAAAACCAAGCGCGCGCGTGGATCATTTCAGCCGAAGCCACACGGGCTAAGTCCACGGTGCACCGTGGAAAGCTAGTCGCAGCGCTGCCCCAGATGTGCGCCACATCCAGGGGGGTGCTGGGAGTGCCACAACCTGCCGCTGCGGTGAAACAGCCACGTCGAACGTCCTGCTGTGGAAATCGATGTGAAGTAGGGGGGGAACGCAGCCGATAGCCGCAGGTCAGTTGAAAACGTGGGGGAAGGACGAGTGCCCAGCGGTCACCGTCAGCCACGGACGCCGCCCATCGACGTCGGAAGGTGGCCAGGAGGGTGCCTGCCTGGCGGGGGGGAACGCCCTCAGGTCGCTGCCGTCGGATGCGCTGCTGTGGAGCGAAAGGGGGGGAAGGCCTTCGGCCTGTCCCAGCCATCCAACGTGAGTGCCCAGCAGGCTCGTCGGGCCAATGTCAGAGAAAGGGCCAAAGTGAACCGCGTGACGAAAATATGGCAGCCGCTGCCACACGGGCTAGGTTCCACGCTGAATCGTGGGAGTCTAGTCGCAGTGTGAATGGTGCACCTCGTCCCCAGGAAGTGGCACAACTGTATTAAGGCCGGGGCCTGTCACTGCGGTGAAACCAGCCCCTGCTGTATAGGGACATCCCACGGAGGTGGCCTGCGGGGACAGCTGCCCGCATCGTCTTTATCCTCCTGAATTGCCCCCCCTATGGGAAGCAAAGGGGCGGTTGAGAACCATCGGGCTGCCAACCCACTGGGCCCCACAAGGCACGTCGGGGACCCAAATGGCCCACAGGGTCAGCGCGATGGAGACAACTTTGCACAGGGAGGTGGAGGCAGCCCCCAGCTGCCCGAGGTCGTTGTCGTCTAGGAAGCATGCGCGGCGCTCTGAGACGGGTTGAATGGCGACCCGTAGTATAGACATACTCAGGGGGGGAAAGGCCTTGAGCCGCAGACGAGCTGCAAGAAAATGCCATGGAGCCCTCTCCACCTGTCCCTCGACGAAGTAGCTGCCTTCCAGGGCCTGGGGAGACGCGGGGGGGGTAGCGCACAGACAGGGGTCGGAGTCGGACCACGTGTCCTGACGGTGGTCCCACCCTTCCCAGGCCTGCCATGCATCCCATCGCGCCGCAGCACTGGGTGGGCCTGTCTGCTCGGCGA